AAGAGAAGCATGGGGTATATGGTATAAGAAAGCTAAATTCTCAACTATCATAACAGGAAAGCAATATATCATAGCCAAAAATGGATAAATCAATACATACCATAAAAGCATATTCTTTAAAAGTAGGAAGGTTAAGTACCAAAGAAACAACTGGAAGAGTTCAAAATTTGTCTCTGGAGACTGGAGGTGAGAGGGTAGAGTAGGGGATTCTTATTTTTCATTATAAACTTTTAGCACCATTACTTTTGTTTTTGTTTTAGTTTTTAATTTTTGGAGAGAGAGCGTGCACGGGCAGGGGAGAGGGGCAGAGGGAGAGAGAAAGAATCTTAAGCAGGTTTACACTCAGTGCAGAATCTGATGCAGGGCTTGATCCACGACCCTGGGATCATGACCTGAGCTGAAATCAAGTGTTGGACGCTCAACTGACTGAGCCAGCCAGGTGCCCCATAATATTACTCTGAAAAAGAATTACAAAGATAACTTTTAAGTATTTCTGATTACACATGAGGAAGATAACTAAAAGGTTTGAAGAGTATCATAAAAATCATAAGAAAAATAAGTTTGCTTTGCAAATGCCTGACTCCACTTTAAAAAGACCCAAATGAGGGGCACCTGAGTGGCTCAGTTGGTTAAGCGTCCAACTTCGGCTCAGGTCATGCATGATCTCACCGTTCGTGGGTTCGAGCCCTGCATCAGACTCTCTGCTGACAGCTCGGAGCCTAGAGCCTGCTTCAGATTCTGTGGCTCCCCCTTTCTCTGTTCCTCCCCTGCTCATGCTCTATCTCTCTCTTTTCTCAAATAGAAATAAAGGTTAAAAAAAAAAAAGAAAATTATAGATGATGCATTGCAGGGGCAAAGAAAGGCATGACAGTCATCAATGGACACAATTTCAAAGAAATGGAATTGGCACCATGTCAAAAAAATTGGTGAATCTACAGTTACACATATTAAGTGAAACTAAAATGTATAAGGTATGTATCTTTTCTTGATTTCCCAATTTACAATGTAATCTTTGACCAACTATTTGTCTAAAAGAGTCTACTGTACAACTGACCCTTGAACAACACAGGCTTAAACTGCATAGGTCCACTTATATGTGGATTTTTTTTGTCATAAATATACTACAACAAAAGAAAATTACAGTACTACAAATATATTTTCTCTTATGATTTTCTTAACATTTCCTCTTTCCCATATTTACTATAAGAACACAGTATATAATAAATTTACAAAATATGTGTTAACTGGACACTTTATGTTCTTGGTAGAGCTTCTGGTCAACAGTAGGCTGTTAGTAGTTAAGTTTTGGGGGAGTCCAAAGTTACATGCAGATTTTTTACTATGTGGGGGATCAGTGCCCCTAACCCCTACATTGTTCAAAGATCAACTGTAATTATATTCAACTTGTATTATATAGTATTTATTAATTGATCTAAGCTTGCTAGCTTGACATATATTGGCAGGTTTATACCAGGGATCTATAGTTGGTGGTCAGGAGTTTATGGATTAGGTTAGCCACACTCCAGGGTTATATGGACCACAATTAGTTTAACGTGCCTCCTGGAAGGATGGAATCAGTGGTAACTAGTTACCTTGCCAAATGGCGATTTCACTAAATTCTTGTCACAGAACTGAAACATCCTAGTTTTCTCTGGAGTAATAGGATGTGGATAGACTTATATCACTGGGTTTCATCAATAACTCCAGCAAAGTTTGAGTTTTAAGCACAGGAAACATCAAACTATTGTTTTGATATCTGCATATAAGAGACCACATAATAATGACTGTGCGTATGAGAGAGAGACAAAAAGAGAGAAGGAACACACCCAGTTACTTTTTCCCATGCTTGCAGAACACCACTTTGAGGGTGGAGAACTGTAACTTTTTGGGAAGTTGCCCAGGGGCTATGAGAGAAGGTTATAAGGCATTGACTCCATAGAAGAGTTCCCAAATCAACAATTCTGGACATTAGCTGAGCAAAAAGTTACCATTCAGCTCCAGTGAATGGTAGGCTTCTGGCAATCTTGAGAACCACCTGTTAGAGAACAGTGAACAACTCTATAGCCCACCTGCCATTCAAACTCAGGGTTTAGGAGTTAACAGATTTTCCTAGAAAGGCTGATCATCAATCATTTGTACAGTTGCCTGCTCACAGCAAAAGACCTGTATAATTTTCTGTAATTTTCTTTTGTTGTAGCATATTTGTAAAAAAAAAATCCATATATGAGTAATATGTGTTTGACAATTTGGAATCAAATTTCGGCTCTATCACTGATCTTGGGTAAATAAGTTAATAACCTCTTTGGGCCTGTTTCCTTATTGATAAGAAGAGAATAGTAATACCTACCTCACAGGCATGTTGAGAGAATTAAATGGAATCATGCATGAGGGTGTAAAATTGAGGGGGGAGGGGGAAACAACTTGTAGGGGTGACAAAGCTGATGTCCAGTCTTACTTTTTTTTTT